AAAAGAAAAACTTGTCCAGCACGTGTTAGTCTGTAAAGAGACTTAAATATTAAGTTTTTAATTATTACAATTACAACATGAAAAAATATTTATTGGAAGGCATAAAATAGAAAAAGCTGACCCATAGACACTTGAATATTTAATTAGAGATTTTGAATGAGTCCTAATTAAAAATGTAGCAGCGATTAAGTTCTCAATGAGATGTGCCCTCCATAGAAATTCTGGCAAGCTATCGACTAGATTAGTCAGTCAAAGACCAAGATACCAAAACCAAAAAAATAAAAAATACAATTAAAAGAAGCTGGCATCTTTTGATGATACGAATATCTAAGTGTTCTTCCTATACATGTTTGGTCATCATATTCACTGCTGAATTCCTTAAAAAAGTTGAGTTAGATTCATTAACAAAGCATCTACCAATATGAACACTTGTATTTGAAGATATTGACATCACACCACAAAATTATAAAGTGATCACCTACATCTAGAAACATGAGTTTACTGTGTGTGTTAGTGGATCACCTCTAGATATTGTTTGTCTCCTTTTTTTAATTTTCTTTGTGGAATTAATTCTCCAATTTAGTTTCTTTTTTTTTTCTTTTTTTTTAACTAAAGCATCACCCATCTCAGAATGGTCTATAGAAAAAATTTATTTCACTGCCTTCTTCTAAAACATTACTCTTTTTTATCACTGGTACAACATATATTCATGTGCTAGTTAACTATTTTGCTTCTTTTTTTTTTTAAGGTTTCTATATTTTGAAGTATGAATTTGCATGTAATTTTTTTTTTAATTTTCGTTGCGGTACTCTAGATTTTCTTAATGTTGATGGGTTCGTCCCTGCATGAATGGATTACGTGTATATATACATACATATATATATACACTGAATAATATTAGTATTTATTTTTTTATATTAAATATGCTTAAGGTTAAAGATAATATATTCCACTAAAATAGCTTAAGCCATTTAGTTAAATACTTTCTAAGCTTATATATTTATAACATATCTTCTAATACTTAATTACGGGAGTTCTTTTATATTTTAATATTTTCTTTACTTTTTTTTCTCATTTTTTTATTTTTTTCTTCTTGCCTGAGTTTGTATTTATTTTAGTCTCAAAGGCCTCATGTCTATTTAATTTCTTATTCTTTTTCTTCTCCTTCTCTCTCTGTCTCTCTCTCTCTCTTTCTTTCTTTCTTTTAATCTCTTGTTTTTTGATCTTTCTTTTTCATCAATCTCTTTTTTGTTTTTTTTTTATCTTCGATCGAATGGCACATAATATCATATTAAATTTCTTATATTAAGTGTACTTAAGAATAGCATACTCTACCAAAATATTTTAACCATTTGGTTAGATACTTTCTAAACTTATATATTTATAATTTATTTTTTAATGTTTAAATATAGGACTTCTTTTATGTTCTAATAGTATTACTTTCTAGATTAAGATAGAAAGAATTTTGATGGGTATAGTTTTCTACCATCTTGGAATCATTTTGATTACTTTAATATATTCCAACTTGCAAGTCATCGTGCAAAAGGGGATTATATTATTATCCTATTGGTGTGTGTTACTTTAATTTGGAAACTAAAGCCCCAAAAAATAACAAGAATGATAAAGTCTCCCATTAGAAAGAAAAAGGTTCGTTCCAGATAAGATGCATTTTTTAAGAAATTTTAAAGTTTCAAATTTATATTGTCTGTGTATTAAAGTTTCTTGCTAATTTTATAGGCATCAATTAGTGTTAACTGATAAGGTTAATATATCTTATAAAAAGAAAAAGGAGGGAGTACAGTATAAAATTAAACTTATAGCAAATTATAGGTCCAGTTTGTTTAATATTAAAAATTAATTAATTTTAAGTAGTTTAAAGATTTTATAAAAAGAGATCTATTTTGTTGAGACTTTACAAAAATGTAACATTTTTTTATGTTTGATTATAATAATATAAAATTTATTATTAGTTAGTTATTTTTGAATTTTATAATATTTTTCTTAATTTTTGTTTTATAAAAATACTTCGTTATTGAATTATGTTAACATTTTAGGATATATTCACATATCATATTTATTTAAAACATTATCTCTCATTTATCGTATGAGATTACTTTCATCTTCTTAAAATAATCAAAAATATGATTTTTTTTAAATTTTAATTATTTTTTAAAATTTAAATAAACATTGTAAAAAATCATGAAATAGACTTTTTCTCAAAAAATAAGTTTTTTTTTTTAATAAAATAAGATGAAACAAACGAGCTGGTAATGGCCTTTGTAAATAATTGCATTAAAAGTGTGACTCAAACCTTAGACACCATTTTTTTTTTTTTTGGTGTAAGTATAAGGGGTAAGTCTTGCCAACAATAGAGACTATCTCTTCTGAAATACTAAGTACAATAGATAAACATCTTTTAATTAAATTGTGATGTAAGCAAGTGTTAGGATTCAAATCTTCTAACTATTTATTTAAGTGATGAGAGCTTATATCATTCAAGTGTGTCAAGTTACTTCCCTCACTCCAAAATACTCATCCCTCTGCTACATATATGCAAGACATATATTAAGGAAATTTATTTTTTCCCCATTAAATCTCATGAAAAATTATTTATTTTCTCTGTTTTGCCCTAATCCACAACTAACGCTCGCAATTTTCTATACATAATTACTGAGCATACATTAATTAACACTGGGGCACTATACATAAATTTATTTCTTAAAGTTAACTTACAAAATGTTCTACACTTTGGACCAACAATAACTTGTACAAAATGTCATACGCTGTAGACCGGAGGGAGTACTTGACTACTTGTCAATTTAGAAGTTTGGCTTTGTTTTAAAATAATTATCACTTTAGGATTTCAATAAATTGTTGCTCTATTTTTTTTCGTAAATTTTATCCTTCAAATAAATTAGAAGTGTTTATTTTAGATATTATAATACATAAGGATATTTATTAGTTTTCTTAATCTATGTGCATAACCCAAACTGACAATTTTGGTATAGAGATAGTATATTGTGTAGTGTGGAACACAAATTTCTTTTTATTTTTAAATTTCGTGTTCATTGTGGAACACAATTGTCGGTTATTGGATGTGAACGGAAGATTTTTGGAAGATTGTTTATATGCCAATCAACAATTTTCTATATACGCATTACAACTTTTGGATCGCGCGATACATGATGGTTCGCTTTTGTCAATTTAATTACATATATATTCTACCATCAAATATTTAAATCAACTAGCTAATCCCTCTTGAGTAAGTCTCAAATTCGAGCTTTAAATGTATAATAATGATTAAATTTTTGATAAGAAGTACTTTCTCTAATCCTATTTATAGGGCAATGAGAGAAGTCCTCATTTGACCTCCATTAAATGTTGGATAAAAAAATACATTATTAAAATATGTATATTTAATATAAACAAAGTTGATAAATTATTAAATTTTTAGACAGAGTTAATAAATTTTAAAATTTTTTTTAATTATAATAAAACATGTTAAAAATATCTCATAAATAGCACCAATGTAGTATGCACTTTAACGAGATACTCTGATTGGATTAATTTTCGCCAAAGGTAAAGCATTAAAAGTTTGTTGAAATCAGGTGGACAATATAAATAGCACAAGTCATTCTTTCCTTTTATTTTATCTAATATTTTTCTGATTCTACACCAGCGTATTCACGCATGCTCCCTTCATTTCTATATATATGTGTGTGTATGTATATGTATAAATATACTTCACTGTTTAAGAAAATTAATTAACTATAATAATTATATCTGACAATAAAAAAATTAAATTAAAATACCCTATGTTAATTAATATAAGTATACATTAATTATTTCTCATTAATGTAAATTATGAAGGATGATTTAGAAAATATGTAATAAATACTTATTAAAATATGTGATTTTACTCACATAAAAAAATAAATAAAAAGTGATAATTTTTTCTATAAATAGAAACGGAGGGAGTATATGTGATTCCTTCTCAAGATATAAGTTTTTTTTTTTTGAAAAAATGATAATAAAATCCCTTCAAATTATATAAATAATAATTTGATCTCTCAAAATGTCATAATTTTACTAAAGTCCTTAGATACCTCTTTGTCAGTAAATTTTAAATTGAAAAGACCATTTTACCCTTATTGATAAGTTGTGATTTCTTGTTCAATTATTGTGATTCTTTAAATAAAAGTTGTAAATACAGTTTGTTATTTTAAGAACTTGTTTTTTAATAATAGAAATTATATTTGATAAATTGTGATTTTTTGTTCAACTTTTGTGATTCGCAGAACAAAAATTATTATTCCTTAAGTAAAAGTTATAATCATGGCTTTTTTTTAATAATAAAAATTACACTTTAACAAGTTGTGATTTCTTATTTAACTCTTATAATTTACAAAACAAAGTTATATTACTTAAATAAAAGTTATGATTAGAGCTTATTATTTTCAATAAAGATAAAATGATCTTTTTATTTTAAAATTTATTGACATAAAAGTCCCTAACAACTTCATTGAAATTATGATATTTTAAAAACCCAAATTGTCATTTATATAATTTAAAGGAATTTTATTTTTATTTTTATTTTAGAAATAATCATGTTTGAGACAGTTAAAAGCATTGAGCGAGAAAACCTTTTCTACCCAAAATTTAAACTTTTGTTTGCGATATTGCGAGGAATTAATGCCTAACTAGACTCAACTCCCTTTTATTGATCTGGGTTAAGCGGCAAATTTGCCGTGGTACTCCAGAAAGAAAAATGATTTCCCAAAACGCTGTAAGTTCAAAAATATTTGCCAATATACTACAAGAACTCAGCTTCTGCCAAACTGAGTTCCAAACAGTGTGCTTAGGCTAGTGTTACGGCTACGTGCTTTGAAACAGCTGGCAGTCTACTGAAGCCATGGAAGAGAAATTTTAACTGGTAATGGTCTTGCAATTCTCACAGAATGATGCTGAGCTCAGAGGAATCCGCGAGAACATTGTTTGATTCAAATGAAAGACCATGTTGCTGCAGAAGCCCCGAAGATAATAAGAGCGGCAACAGAGAGGGTGATAGGGCTTGAATAGGGGAAGAGATCAGTATTTGAGAAACCGACTTGCTGAGCCTTGCCGTTGCGTTCACTTGTTGGTTTTGTAATCCTGAATCGTGATGCCACGTGTCAGTATGGGGGCTTTAAAAGGTTTTGCATGGACATGGGAAAGTAATACGTACCTGGTGGAAGAGGCGGGGGGCCAGAAAATGAGGTGATATACGTTAGCTTTGCAAGTGAAAGTGCTGCTGATATCATCGAAAGCATAGCTGTAAGCCGTGGGAAAGGCCTTCTTGAAATTGGCAGAGTAATAGGAGGCATGACACGTGGTTGGGTTGGCATGTTGTCCTCTGCAGCAGTACTGGTCCGATCCAAATGCCTCGCAAGTGCTCTCGCATCCAACCACGCCCCCACTCTTCACTTGAAGTTCCCTTGGGCAACCTGCATGTTTTCATTGATAATTAATAAATAATTCCATTCCATGCTCATCTTTCCCAGAGTCAAGAATATGGACAGGGTTATCCAAGTTGGTTTGAATAACCAATCATATGAGTTGGGTTGGATTGAAATTTTTTTGACCCAAATAAAATAATTTTTTCTTAGCCTAGATCAAATAACTTGTAAACCATGTGAGTTAAACCTAATGGATTTAGGGTTGACTCATTTAAGTTATATTATTTTAAAAAAAATAAAAGAAAAAAGGGTTCAACCACATGATTTTTGATAAATTGATGGGCAAGAGTACTTAGCTTGGCTGGTTTTTTTTTTTTTGGCCAAAACTTGGTTTGTTCAATTCATATATTCCGTAAAAATATTATGGGTTAATATTTTGGTGTATCTAAAATGAACAATAGTGGGATAGAATTTATCATGATTTAGGTGTATTATTTTAAGATTCATGAAAACAAATACATTGCAAAAAAAAATTAAATGAGTTAGTGGGTTAGTCCATGTAATTGCGTACCCTCAAAAATCACATTCAGTTATGATTTTGGGAGAATGACAAATAAGTTTCAAAAGAATTAATTAATTCAACTTAAATCTCAAATGCCAACTTTTAAGAATTTATAAATTTAGTTCTCAATTTTATAATTTTATTGTATTGAATTTATAACTTGTTTTTTAAATTTTATGTGATTGAAAAATAAATAAATTTTTTTATTAAAATTTAGAACATAAGTTATAAAATTAAAAGTCAAACTTACAAATTCTTAAAAATTACCACTTAAAATATAAGTAGAATTAATTGATCCTTTTTGACCTCTTTATCATTCTCCCAATGATTTTTTCAACTCATAAGAAAATAGACTAAACCAAATCCAATTCATTTTTTTCCCAAAACTCATATATGGGGTTGGCGAGCTCTAATTCCCATGCACAATATAACATAACCTGCAATGCTGTTACGTGCCTCTGTTGAGATTAGAAATACAACCGGTGGAATTACAGGCAGAGGCACCATAGACCCCAGCTGGGACAGCAAGCATTGGGAGATTGTAGCCGTCGACGAGGCTGACGTCGTAGAAGTCTTGGTCAGTGCCACCGCCGAGTGTGATCTCGAACAACGACGCAGGAGGAGCTGCTCCGTTCCCTTTACATTCCAGCTTCCCGCCGCAATCACCTGTTTGACACTTTCCGTTTCCATTTCCATCAAACTCACAGCCAGTCCTTCCCCATATCCTCCCCGACCACTTTGGTCCGCTCGTCAGCTTCACACTTCGCCCCGCCTCCAGCCAGAACCCTGTCAGCAAAAGTTCTGGCAACCCTGAACCGGACAGCGTGGCAGGCCATATGGTGGTGGTGCAGTTGTTGGTGATGGTGAATGTGATGCAGTATGAAGAGGTTGAGGAAGTGAAGAGAAGGAGGAGGAAAGTGGGGAGCTTCGAGAATGGCATTTTGAAGGCAAATAGGAGGGATCTCTGCTTGTGATGCGAGTTTCATATATCTGTCTGGGTGTGTAATTCATCATGCATTCACCAGAGCATGAAGGATAAAAATATGTTGCTTAGAAAATACGTAGAGAAACTTACTCTACTAATTCATTTGAAGGATAAAATTGTCACAAAAAAAAAAAGCAATGATTTATTGAAAACCTAAAGTGGTAATTATTTCAGAACAAAACCAAACTTCTAAAGGGATAATTACTCCCTCCAATCCACTGATAATGTAAATTTGAAACTTTAAAATTTCATTTATAAAATGCATCTTATCTCGAATGAACCTTTTCTTTCTAACGGGACTTATTATTCTTATTATTTTTTGGGGCTTTAGTTTCCAAAGCAACACACACCAATGGGGTAATGATAGAATAATAGAATCCCCTTTTGCATGACTTGAAAGTTGGAACATATTAAAGTAATTAAAATTATTCCAAGATGGTAGAAAACTACCCATCAAAATTCTTTCTATCGTAGTCTAGAAAGTGAATGCTAAAACTATTTAGTATATTTACGTAATCCATTCATGTAGTTCAATCCTACCAAACTTACTACTTTCTTTGCTCTTCGTGTGAAGCTAGGTTAGATAATATGAAATGCTAAAAATGAAATAGGTAGCCTGAATATGAGAATGTCTTGGCAAAGACTTTTTGCCCATGCCTGTTGGAATATATGGAATGCTAAATGCAAAAAGATCTACTCTAAAGATGATATTCTGTATAGTGATATTACCTTCTCCTGCACTCAATAAATAATCAATGACCTGAAACTTCATTACAAAATTAATCATCTGAGCAAAATTGATGGCAAATAAATAGCCAAATGGAGCTCACCAATCCTAGGTGAGTTGGAATTGATGTTGATGGTTTAGTCAACGTTAATAGAGATGTTGCTTGTGGAGGCATCATCAGAGACAACAAAGGCAATTGGATTAAGAAATTTTTTAAAAATCTTATTATCACCCTAGCACAACAGCAAAACTTATGGGGATTTTGGAAGGTCTTGATCTTTGTTGGAATGCTAAACTATCCAAAGTTAATGTTTGCACTAATTCCCTAGATGTTATGGTGCTCATTGATTGCACCAAATGTGAAAGCCAGCCTCTCTCAACAATTATTAAAAAATCAAAAATCTCACCATGAGAGATTGTGTGATCACTTTTGATTATATTTACAAAGTGACAAATAAGTGCACTAACCTTTTGGCTCGTAAGGTGTCAAGTGATAATTTTTAGATTTCTTTATTACTAAAATTTTTTAATCTTACTCCCATTACTTAATGTTTTTCTAGGAGACAAGAAGGCTAAGGGTAAAGGAGAAACCTCAGGGGCCAAGCACTAGAGACTTTATTGTATAATTTCTAGTACTTGATTTTGTAGAATGATGGATTATGTTTGCTATCATAGGATAATTGTTCTTCGTGATTGTTTAGGCTTTTGGCATATGGTTTAGGTTTTGGACACCTTAGAATTGTTTATGTGTGAAAAAGGAGTGATTTTGGTTCTGAATGTCTAACTTTTTAAATGTGATCAAATTTTGAAATGAAACTAATTCCATTAACTAGTTTATTGAATAGGCTTTCTATACGAACAGCTAGATCACCTCAATCAGATGTCGGATGATAGATTGGGACGCATCAAAAGTTTGCCCTTAAAGCTATGCTATGGCAACATCTTTACTATCAAATTCTATACAATATGCTGCGACGCACATGACAAAGAAGGTCATGCCATGGCACTTCTTAATATGCCATAACGAATGCTTCTGCAATTGAAAATGATGATTTTGACCCTTTTATTTCAATTTTTCCAAACTAAGAGGTATCTCATGCTTCTTAATGCTTTTAGGACTCTAATTCATTATTTAAGTGGGTCTTGTTATGCTTCAAACCATTTGTGGTCTTAGGATCCTAAGATATTCTCAATACCTTATCCTAACGGGTGCAAATCCTTTAATAATATACTAGTAGCTATTAAATGATTTAAATCCCTTCTTCCATGACAAGCTTTACTTACTAATACTATTTTGAATCTTCAAATTATAAGTTTAAATTTTATTAATCATAGTATATAGTCTTTTCTTTTTTTTTTAATTATGGTTAACTTTCTTTAACTATAGTTAATTTCTATTTTACCATTACAAGGTAACTAGGGTGATTAATCCTTATTTACCATGGTAATACATGGTGTTATGGTTAAGTCTTGTGGAGTAATTAGGCAATATTACATAGAGCACCTGATATCCTAAGTCTGCCTCATGTCAAATTGAGAGACTTTAATAGGTGCCTAGACTAATTAGAGTTGGTAATTCAAGTGGATTCAAGTTTATTTGAATTTGGCTCACTTTAGGTTAAACTTATTTAAATCGAGTTCAAAATATCTAAACATATAAAAAAAAAAAACTCATGTGGCCAAGTTTAATCTTGATACATCAAACTCGAAGGCTTAACTTGAATACCTAAATTGTTAAATTTTATTTTATTTTATTTTTTTATTAGTCAATTTTAATTTTTATGTTGAAAAAAATAAAATCTTACAAGCAACATAGCGCTACAACACATTTTTTTCTATCTTTATTAAAGTGAGACCAAACATTGAAAGAATACAAATGAAAATATATAAATGAACATCTTATGTTTATTTTTCCTTGATATTTTAAAAAAATATTGAAGACAAACAATTATTAAATCATCAAAACTTCATAATACAAAATTTGTAAACAACTGGAAGAGGGTTTGTGAGTTCTAAACAGAAGCTGAACTGAAGATTAATTTCTTTTTATTAATAAAAAATTTAAATATTCAAGCCAAACTCATTTGAGTTTGACTTGGCCCAAATTTCTTAATAATAATATTTAACTTTGAATAGCCATCATTTAAATTTATTCAAAATCCTGATCCAATTGGATTTATCTGGCCCCTATTAAAGTCTCTTAGTTCAATTGAGACAAGCTCAAAAAAATCGGGTGCTATATGCAAAAAAAAAAAAAACACGTGAAGAAGAAGACAAATGCTCTTAAACAGGTTTTTATTTATTTATTCTTTTGGCATATGATTGTACTAAAATTTGTCTGAAAAACCAGTTTCAACGCTAGGTGTTGGAGAAGAAATTTTGGAACTGGATCTGGTGGAGCCAAATTCTCATTTGCAATAAACATATTGAAAAATATTTTTGAACTTGTAGCATTTTGGGAAATAATTTTTCCTGTATAGTACCATTGTCAATTTGCCGAGTTAAGCCCTTAAACCCCCTCCAAAAAAAAAAAACAAAAACAAAAAGATATAGGAGCCAGTCACAGAAATACAACCTAAATCTTTTTTCCTTTTAGAAATAGTACAAGGGACATACATGTGAACGTAGGCAATAGGTTATAATGTTGATCCAGTATGAAAGTTTTAATGTTCTAATAACCTCCCACAAACAAGATGAATTTGATGCCACTGGGTCATAGCTAGAGCCATTGGCAAAAATTAAATTATCTTATTGCAACATTGGTTCATTAATATGAGTTTATTATGTTATGACCTTTCACCATCCCAATTCTCTAATCTTGTAAGGGGCCAGAATAAGCCTAAATAACATGTATTCATCAAATTTCCCTAACAGCACAAGTCAAGTAGCATCTTTTATCTTATGTAAATTAAAGTAAATTCAATTCAATTCCTTTACAAAAGAAAGGGGGAAGGGGGGTTCTGCAAGTAAATAGTAGGTAAAATGTGGGTTTAGGAACTTGAGGAAGATCCTGACTATACAAGCAAGTGTACTGTATATCCTGATAGGTTAACCTTTTAGAGAGAGAATAATGGCCTCTTGACAATGTGATATCAGTGCCAACTTTTGATCCTAAGACTTGTATACTTGATATTATATATTAAAGAAAATTAAATCCGGCATTTGCCTTAATTAAAGTAAGTAATTCATGTGTATTTTAATTTAATTGTGAAAAGATGTTTTACACCAACAGGTGGACACACATGTTCATTGTACCACAACTTTGTGTTATGCAAAGAACTATACAAAAAGGAATAAAAAGCCATTAAGCAGCTTCTTAACTATCATAATAATCATTGTATCATTAGCTGTTTTCTATAAAACAATGTACATCATTATGACAACTACTTGAACATGAACTTCTTCTGCCTTCCCAAGAGTCAGTAATCAATCATCACATCTCAAACATTAGTTCCCCACACAAATTATTTTGTTCTGTAGTATTAGTCATGGTCTTGTATTGATCATTTTTGTCTTCTGTCTCTCTATGAGTATCAATCAGGTAATAAAAGAAAATGACGAGTCATTCTCAGTAGTAGCATTGTATTTAAGCGGAGAGGGAATTTCATGGGACCCTCCAAAGACAAAATTGCAGATTTCAAGGTCCATGATAGTTCCCCTATAATCTGCTTCTTTAATTAGATAGGGTTAGATTGTTTTATTTTAATTTATTTTTAATACAAGACCATGGACAAGAATCCGTGTAAAAGAGAAACCATTAGATCATGTCATAACACAAAAAGTTCTTACATCCTAGCACAGGGACCTCAAAAATCTTAACATCTAAACTATCATTGATGGCTTGGTGAGCAAGCCAATCAGTGCATTGATTCAGCTCTCTGCATATGCGATTAAAAGTGATCGTCTAATCTCATATGATGAAGTCTCTATGTTCTTTAAAATTCCAAAGAGCGGGTGATTTTGGGCAGAATCGAGCCGAATGAGCATGAGATCTTCAAAAAGTTTGAGTAGATATTAACTTGTGTGAGCTTATTATCCCAACAAAGGTTGAGGCCTTCAAGGAGATAGGGTTAGTTTTGAGTCCAATGTCGTCACTTGCCTTCAAATTCCTTCATGTTCATCCCTATCCAGAGGAACTGGATTGATGCACAACTTGAAGTGTATGCTTCATGAGATTTAATTTTGATATATCACACCAATCATAAATAGTCAGGCAAACATACAAAAGATAAATCTTACTGAAACAAACTCCATTATTGATCTATCCTGTTCAGATAACCTTATGATTAGATTTGACCGTAACTTGAGAGAAATTTCAAGGATTATTTTCCAGACAATCTAGGGATCTCAAACAATAGATTAATGATATAGTAAGTATAAAAATCATTCAAACAAATTTTCTTCTTAACTCTCCCATACAAAACTGAGCCGAAAAGTAAAATTCTTTTATTGAGTGTTTTAGAGCAGCCAATTTCAATTTTCAGACATTAAGAAATTACAATGTAAAAAATTCTTTTCTATCTATATTTACAATGAATCGACCAATGGTGATTATCATATCAGATCCAGACAGTGAAAGGACATGGATCTTTCTTTTGGTTTTTCAGCCCTGAAGTGACCTGAAAAGCACAGATATGATCTATTACCAAAAACCTATCGGCAAAATCTAAATCTCAGTGACATTTTCATTGAAGTCAGAAGAATTGTAAGAACTCTTCATGGACGGGAAAAGGGGGAGAGACATGAGGTTAGGCCAGATAAAGTATATTATCATGGATGTTTTGACATTGTCAAACAAATTTCTCAACGAAATTCATTGATTTGAGAACAAATACTTGGCTGTGGTTTCTCGCAATGTTTTTCAGTTAAGAGAGTTTCAGTGGTCGATTCTGGATACACCTAAACCCACTAGGTTCATGCACAGCCATGTTTTGTTGGTTTGTGTTGTGACTTGAGAATTTTAATCATAAGAACACAGTCTTTCATTGATCATAAATGCCTCCATGAGAAAATTAATGCTTTGTTTCTATACTTGTATGAGGATGGACAACTCGTGTATGCAACTCCAATAATTGATCCCAACACACACTTGACAAGGAAGGATTGGACATTCCATATATTAAGCTATGTTAACATTAAGCATTGTTAGAACAGGCATTGGATAAGAAGGAAAAGTTCCACAACAATTGAGAAGGGAAGCATGATTCAACTAATTCTTAAAATCTCTTACGTTGTCAATTTAAGATTCTCTAAGTAATTTACTATCATGTCCTTATATCATTCTTATAAAATTATCATGACTAGACACGTTTTTTCATACTGCATATGATGTGTAAGGAATGAAGTGCATTCTTCATAACTCATAAATATTATGACTTATTACGTATTTTATATTTTATAGAAAAATGTTCCATGTATTGTGCAAAATTTGAAAGATAAGCCACTCTCTATTCAATATTTCAATACTTTTAATATTAAGCTTGCCATAGATTTTGTATTGTATATTAATATTAAATTTGGTACTGATTAATAATTTCTTAGTAAAATAAGCATGTTCCCCCTTTTTTTGTTTGTATTGCACAGAATGTGAGAAATAATATATATACCGTTTGATGTGTGACTATTATTATCTACTGTATATTTTATATTTTATATTGATGATTTGCAAAATTAATAATATAACTGTTATTGTGTTAAAAATTTTAAACCATTTAGTTCTAATTCATTTTTCTATTTGTTTTAAACTCTCAAAAAATAATTTCCATAATAAATTTTAGATATTATGTTACCTACACGGCAACCTAAATAAATCCTTAGGCTCTTCACAACCCCGCTTGATCACACCATTAAAACCAATTAACCCGAAGTCAATGGCTAGCTTCTCACCAAGTTTACACTCTATAGTCTATACAAAGCAATCTCTTTCTCCTCTTTTACATCAAAAATCAGTGTTAGCGTAAGAACTTACCCTGATAATCTCAGAAGACTAGAGATTTCTGCCAGCATTGTCTCAATCTCGTCATATCTTGGGTGAGACTTGTCTCCAACAATAAACTCATGAACTTCACCATAAACCTCTATTACGCTGCATCCAGGGACTTTATTCACGCCATCTGCTTTCATCATCTTTCTCAAACTGTTAACTCTTTCCCAGTTCTTGTCATCAGCATATATGTTTGATAAAAGAACATAAGCACCATCATTCTTGAACTCCAGCTCCAACACCTTTCTCAGGGCAGACCCACCCAGTTCTCTGTTATTATACATTCTACAAGCATTAAGTAATGCAGTCCATGCACCAGCATGAGGTTCCACAGGCATGTTATTTATGAAGTTCATGGCTTCTTCCAGACGCCCTGCTCGACCACATAAATCAACCATTAAGCCATAATGCTCAAGTTTAGGGTCAATTCCATACAGATTCTTCATTGATTCAAAATGCTTTTGACCTTCTTCAACCAGACCAATCACACTACATCCTCTTAAGACCGAAATAAAGGTGACTTCGTTTGGCTGTACACCATCCTGTTTCATAAGAGAAAAAAGATCAAGACACTCCTTGCCAAACCCATTCATTGCTAACCCACCAATGGCACTGCTCCAAGTGTAAACGTTCTTTTCCTTCATACCCCAAAAGATTTCCATGGCCTTGTAAATATTTCCACATTTAGCATACATGTCAATAAGTGCAGTTCCTAGTGTCACAGTCATCCTGAGCTTGTTTCTCTGTATATATGCATGAGCCCATCTTCCTTGATCCATTGTTCCCAAGTGGGTGCATGCAAATAAAATCGAAACCATGGACACTTCATCAACTTTCACACCCTTTATTTGCATCAAATTAAACAAATCCAACGCCTCTCTTGACCTCCCACTTTGGGCGTACCCTGCAATCATAGCATTCCAGGCAACAGTATCTCTCACAGGCATTTCGTCAAACACTTGTCTTGCAAAGTCAATATCGCCACATTCAGCACAGGCCTTCACCATTGTCGTCTTCGAAACCAAATCTGGCTCAGCAATCGCTTCATATACCCCACGACATGAACTTAAGCAACCTAATTCACCATACATAAATATCAATCCACTCTGCACATGTGGGTCACTCTCAAACCCATACTTTATAACCGCACCATGAACTGACAAACCCACCTCCCGCACCAAAAGCTGCGCACATGAGCGAACCAAGAAATTGAAGGTGTAATTATCAGGCGATAGATTGTTTCTGGAATGGAGAATTTGATTATAGAAGTGAAAACTTCTGTGAGGACTTGAGCTCTTGGAGTAGGCTCTGATCAGAGAGTTGAAGGAGAATGTACTGGGATTATCATATTGGTTTAGAAGCTGAATGGAGTAATCGTGATTGGTAGGATTGTCCAAGGCGATTGTGGCTACAAATTGACCATGAAAGTGAGGATTGTTGAGAATGCCGATTTGAAGCAACTGGGTGTGGATCTGCTTGAGCTCTCTGAGAGTGGTACTTGATTGAATAAGTGAAATTGTGGGATGCTTCGCTATAAATGTCAGAGTGTTCATTACAGGCATATGCGATTTGAGAGTGAAGCATCAAGCATTTGGCATTGAGCTTTGGGATATTTCTTCTGTTTTTTTTCCCCCGCTTCCGTCTTGGAACACGATTCAGAAGATTTTCACTTTTCCATGCTTAATTTCAACGTAATTCAAAGGCACAATCAAGATCACATAAGAACATTTATTACTGTATATAATCAAATAATTTTAATATTGTCCTGAAGAATAAAGAACTCAAATATAATTAAAATTTATTTTCAAAAAATAAGACTACTCTTTATATATATAATCTTTTAATAAGTTTCTATTTGAGAGAAAAAATAAATTTTATTTTTATGTTAATAACAATTAATTTTTTTCATTAACAATTCTTAAAAAGTAACTTAATAATAGAGAATAACAAGCTTTATGATTTAAGGAATAAGTTCCCATTCAAAGAAAAAAGCAAATCTAATTTTTATTTTAACAACAATTAATTCTTTCATTAACAATTTCAAAATATTAACTTAGTAGCAAAGAGAAAGTATTGGTGTCTGATGAACAAATTCTCATTTGAAAAAAAAATATGTTTTATTTTTATTTTAACAAAAATCAATTCTCCCTTCACAACAAAATATATATATATATATATATATATATATGAAGGGTAATTTTATCTATTTATAACAAATTTTAATTATATTTAGGTCTCTTGATCTGTAGAACAAAATCAAAATTATTTAATCTTGCATAATAATAAATGTTATTTAGTGGTACTTGTTTGTGATATTTCCATCCACTAACTTGTGCAAATGAATATACTACAACTAAAAGTAGTCATTAATAAAAATATATAAAATCCATGGCCAAAAAATAAACATGAAATTCATTACATATCATCTTTTTCTTCTCCTTCACATTTTTAGTAATATCATTACGTATTTTGGCAAAAAGAAAAAAGATATTTGAGCAAATTAATCCCCAAAAGTTTCTAGAATCCAAAATTTACTTTTTTAAGTGATATTTTTTTAACTTTTAAAAATGATTGAATCTGACCCCTATTATTAATAAAAGTTAATTTAATTATTAGTTGATTAGAAAATGACAGAAAAGAAGCCAAAAAAATTTGGTCATTTTTTTTAAATTTTTAGGTCATTGTCCATAATTTTTTTGGTCCTTTACTATAATTTTTATGTCTTTTTTATGATTTTTTTTAAGTCATTTTCTATCATTGTTTAGTCAATTAATAGTCAAAGTTAACTTTTGTTAATAATATGGGTCATATTGCACTGTTTTTAAAAGTTAAAGGAAAATATTATACAAAAGATGAATTTGAGGTCCCGGACACTTCTAGATCTATAGTTGAAAGGCCAATTTGCTTATTTACCATAAAAAAAAAATATCATTACATATCATTCTATTTATGAATTAAAGAACTTGACAAATGACAACTAGTTGTATTCTATGTTCCATGCAAAACCTAAACATTGCTCATGAATTATGCCTTGCTTGTTTCAGTTTATTTTCCTATCCTATGATTCCTATTAATCTTCCTCCTAGGTTTTCAAAATGTGAACTTTCTACTTTCTAAGGAGGAGTATACCAACAAAAAAAAATGCAAAAATATACAAATAATAATTAAATGATAATTAATTATCACGAAATGTTATAATTATTGTTTAGTTCCTAGAGATGTGTCTGTTATTTTAATTATTTTTATAAAATGACATAATCACCCTTAGTGACTATCATAGGAAATAACTATTTCAATCCTATTGACTAAAATGAAATAGAAAATGGCTACTCTCTTTTTATAAATTTGTGATTTATAAATGGATTAGAAAATGATTATTTCCATTGTGTGAAGAATAGCCTTAAGTGATATTGACTTCTCTCTCTTAGTTTTTCATGCTTCATGATTTTTCAACCATGATTGATTTAGGTTACTAGAAAGTCCTACTAGATCAGCCTCACTTGGACGACAATAATAGAAGGAGAAAAAAGAAAGAAAGTGGAGGATATTCCCCAAGCCATTATGGATGACTAGATGGAGGAGAAATAAGTAGAGGAGCTGAAACCTAGCAACCCTCCTAAGAATGGTAATGGTAATTTGGGAAGTAAATATCATGATGGCTTGTCATACTGCGAGTCTTTAATGGGTTTCAATGGCATGGTAAATGGTGAATGGCCTCTGCAAGAAGAACTATTTAATAATGATAAAGATATAATTTGGAAACTACCTAAACCTTCAGAAGAAGTGAAAAAAGTTGATGGATTCTACCTTGTTCTAATAACAAAGAGTTCAATAAATGGTGCCAACCTTGGAAGTATGCACTGGTTTTGACTATTTTTGGAAGGAAATTTCATTTATATAGGCTTAAAGAACACCTAAGCTCAATTTGGGGGTTCTCCAACTTTGAGCTGATAAACCTCCAAAATATTTATTACTCGATTAGATTTCTTCATAAAGAGAACTAGAAGGCATAATATAAAAGGGTTCTGTATGAGGGGCCATTATCATTGAAGTAGCACTGTGTTAGTGCAGAGATGGATGCCATATTTCAATCCCTACAAGAATCTATAAGGTCGCATTGCTACTTGGGTGTGCATTCTGAATATTCTAATGCATTGTTAATGTAACATCTTGAAAATTAAGCCCTAATAATCAACCTAATTAAGGGTAATTATATAGGAATTATGTGGTATGTGGTTAAAGGGGATTAATAAGTGTCTTTAATTGGGATTTCAAGCATAAATTTTGGTCCAAAGTGAAAGGGAGTCACTTGAACATCAAAAGAGGTGAAAAACAAAGAAGGAAAGCTTTTGTGCCACATGCCGCGGCACATTGTGGTGTGCCATGGCGTGTTGGGCTAAAAGATGAGAGGGAGCCTCCTTTGTATCACATGTTACAGTGCGTGCAATATGCGTCATGATGTATGGCTCTAATTCCGTAGAAATAAGATGCGAATCATAAAGAAATTCATAAGAGTGAGAAGGATAGAATGAAGAGAGCTCTTTCATTCTCAAGAGAATTAAATATGTTTCTAAGCCATTAAACATTAAGTGTAAGTCCCCTAACTTAGTCTTCTTCCTTCCTTACCCATTTTCTTAAGTTTTGTATTAAGTTTTGATAATGGGAGAGAATTTTTGGTCCATATAGATTATGGGTCCAAACCCATTAACTTAGTGGAGTTAATAGGAGTTATTTGAGGTATTTAAACTAGAATTTAAGGGTTTAAATATTAATGGTGGTGTTTGGGTATTATGTCTGAAAATGGATATTAAATTTGAGTTATGAGGGTTGTTATGACATTAATGACCCTATGTGAATATGATTATTGTTAGTTGGGATTAATAGAAGTTAATAAACCTATTGAGTAAGCCTAAATTTAAAAAAAATAAGAGCTTTAGGTATTTTAGAGATTGAAGAAAATAAGCTAAGTATATGACTAATGATATTGATGATACTGAATTTGATTAATTGTAGATTAATCACCCTGCACACCACATTTGGCTTGGAAAACAAGCTTGGAAGCACATGTTTGAGGGGTAAACCTTTAACTTTTAAAAAGTTTGAGATAACCCGAGAAATTTATTTTATGCAGTTCTTTGTTAATTGATTTATGTTTTCAAAAATGGAAGAACTGACTTGAATAACTGAATATTGTGATTGCTAATGTATGCTAAAATCATGTGAGGTTTTATTAACAATGAGTCAACTTTAAATGTGAATTTTAATTTGAAATGATTTCAGAACTACGATTATGTGCTAGAATGAGAATTAGCACTTAATGTGATTACTATGATTGTCCAAAATGTAATGATTAAGTATAGTGGTGAAAATGTAAATGAGATTGAGATTGAAAGTGGAAGCTATATGTGATAAATGAAAATAGTTGTCTTGCTTACATGGTTAAACTAATCATATGATTTAAGATAATGAGCTTGTCATTGGTATTATTAGTGTGTTTGGGTGTTAAATGGAAATAATGGAATGTATTGGAAGTGTTGAGAGCATTAAGGTGAGATTTTGGGTATGGTGAGTATCCAAAATTATGCTAGAAAGAGGGCTAATTAGAGTGAGAATTGATGTTAAATGTTTATTATAAATTAAATATTAATCTAGTGTTGATATACTAGTGGACACATGTAGAGCTAAGTTTTGTCCACAGTAACCCTTTTTGTGATAAAAGAGTTGAGGCAACTAAATTATCTAAATTCTTTATTTGTGTGTTTGGATAGTTGTGTGGTAATTGCGAAAGCTATTATTATTGTTTTGGACTAATATAGTGTTAATATCAAAAATGTTTATGATTTAAAAATTTTATGTAAAGTGGGATGCATAACTTTGTTTTGTACTTTAATGGTTTTGAAGCTTTTAATCCAAATCCTATGTTCATGCATACATAATTGCAAAATTGTATGAATTATAGTAGAAATGATTATTCGAGTACAATTTATGGGTTTACGGTTATGTGTGTAATTGTTAAGCATATATTTGGCATGATCATTATGAGAGGGTGGGAGTTCACCTTAGTGTTATTTGGAAATATTGTTTGGAAATTCTTATGGTACACTAGCACCATGGAAGCCCCGATGTATAGTTCTATAATTGTTTAGAAGTTCAATTACTATTTGAGATAGATTAGGCATATGACACCTTAAGTATTGTGAAAAGGAAGAATATGTGGTCTATAGTGGGCTAAGGTGGCTTTGGTCAAGGCTACCTCTTATGATTGGTGAGCTTGAGCCTATCTAGTCACATGAATTTTACTCTATCAAATTGTTAGTCCACAAATTCAATTAGAGGAAATAAGGAGGATATAAGGCGATGTATTGATCATGTATTGTATAGTCATGTGTGTGTACATAATTTGACATATATACAAAGTTTATGTTCTAAATTTCACTTCACATACTCACTAACTATTCTCACACATGAGTAATTTGTTTAGATTATTTGGTTATTGAGTTCTCAACTCACCCTATAGTTATATTGTAAGATGAAAGCTTCGATAGGGATAAAGGAAAGGAAGGGGCTATCGAATCTTGAAGAGCTTTAATTTGTATAGCTTTTCTCTTTCTTGATGGTAATGTAACAAATTTGTAATACTTATGCCCATTTAGG